CACAAAATCAAGTATCCATAGCAACTAAATAAAAAATTATCACTTCCATAAAAAAAAGTGCAGACCTCATATTAGAACTCATGCCAATTTTAGTATATAAAGACATTATATTTAATGAGTTATCAAGTCCATTAAAAGTGAATTCTGGCCCACTGTGCATGAAGGGACAGATACAGAAAAAGAATGAGACTTCTCTGAATGACAAGTCAGGGTAAAATGAATTTTGGTTGATGGAACTAGAGACTATAGCTTCTTTGAGCAGTGACAATGATAGTATTTGTAGATAAGAGAAAGAAATATAAATTTACAACGATGGGAGAGAGGCTCAAGCTTGCCAGATAGAGCAGGTCCGACTTTGTTTACAATGGATTTTTGGATCTTGTCTAGAAAAAATAGAACAGTATTCCATACAGAGGCAAATAAGAGATTGTTAGCATAGAAGATAGAAGCAACCTTAACAGATGCTAATTTAGCAATCGATTGTATGTATGGTTTCCATGAGAGGTCAGTAGTGAAAAATAATTAAAGATGATGTCTCAGTGAGGATTGCCATTCATCAATATAGGAATGTCGACAGTATTGCGATAGTTGTTTGCAGTAAACAACTGAGTTTTGAGAAATGATTTGATAATCTCAAAAACTTTCCAAGAAACACCATAAGAAGCAACCTTATGGAGAAGACCAGCATGCCAAATTTTGTCATAACCTTTAGATATGTTAAGAGAAATAACCCTAGCCTCGTCGCCTCCATCTAATGCACAATAAAATCTTTCAATCACACCAGTTAGCAAGTCAGCTGTAGAGCAAGAGGATCAAAAACTGTATATAAAATTGTCTGACAGTAAGTAAGTAAGTAATGATCTCGAGAGTTTTTGAAAACTGGAACCAAAGTTGCCTTTTCCAGCCAGCAGGAAAACAAGATTCAGTCAAGCACTTATTAAATAGTTTAGAGAAAATTGACGAGAATTATTTTGGAAAATTATTTTGGAGAACACTTTTGTAAAACTATGACAGAAATATTGTCTGGACCACTGGACAAGCCGTAAAAATGTTTAATTGAGATATTACTTTAGCTATGGAAGCTAGAGTGATTTGAATGTCTAACAACCAGTCCCCCTGTTTAATTGGAATGGATTGAAGAGTATAATCATAAGATTTAAGAGTTGAAATAAAATTTTCTTTGCAATTATTTCTTCCTCATTCTTGGGAGAGGTAATAAGATCAGTCCCGTGGATTAGAGATAAAATATATACCTACCCTTGTTAATGAAGCTGTTGAAGATTATCCCAAAGTGTCTGGAGTCTAACTTCTGAGATAAGATACAAGATTTAGTGAACTGAGTAGTGAAAAAAACATCAACTCTAAAACCTTTTAGAGTTGATGTTTTTTTTTTTTATTGTAGTTTCAGTTGACAAATCATTTCTTGAGGTAGACAACAGATGAAACAAACAGCCTATGATAATAATGTTAGGACCTATGGAAGCCCATGATAATAATATTATCATGGCGTTATTAGGCGCTGTTTATTCCTGCTACTGAGTTGTTGAATGTCTAAAAGTTAGTGGCAAGATATTCATTTTTTAAATCTCAATGAGCCAGCAACACTTTTAATTATTTGCTTCCTTTGCTGTCTACTTGTCTACTATGTGTTGCACCAAGACAAGTACACTATTACAAATAAATTGCATAAATGCCAAATTGCATAAATGCCAATACCAATATAGAAATTATTCTATTGTTAAAAAATCAACAAGCAACAAGCTAAAAATTTTAAATAATGTAAATATAATCCAGAATTGGTATTTGGTTTACCAGCAATATTTGTGAGCGGCTAAGAATAATTTAGGTTCACAAATTCAATTTATTAAAAAAAGTTTTTATAAAACAGTTGACATGGTTACCAGGGGCACAGAGCTCCATCAATTTTTTGGGATTCTTTTTTCTTTGGTCAAAAATCATGACTACGTGGACTTTAACTCCAGAATTTTTTTTCTTTTTCTTAAATTAAGTATGTGGTTTTTATTATCTGGAATTTTTGCATCTGAGAAAATGCTTCAAAAGCAGTAGGGTACCATTGAAGTTTTCTCTTATGAATTATATATACAAATTTTAGGTACCAAATTCCGTAATACTCTGTTACATGGTCTAATCACAGAGCACGGCAGAAGAGCATTTAGCAGGAAGCTTGCGCCACCTTCCTAACTGATGTTGCAATACTTGCCCATAGGTGGATTTGAACCATTTTGGGGCTTTTGGGGATTTCGGGGCTTAATGATAAGACTAAATTTGTCTTCTTCTAGCCCCGGTCATGTAATTATTTTTTTTATAAGTTAGGACTGTAAATTTTTTTTTTATCAGCAAAAGTGTAAAAAATAAATAAAACCACGAATCTCTTATTTTTGAAGCAAGTGCACTACCACTACGCCATGGCTGTTTATACCTGAAAGGTAATTTGTAACAGTGAGAATTGATGAGAATAACAGAACTCATATCATTGATTAACTTAGATGTAAAGTGAGTACTATGGATTAGAGTCATGGAATAGAGTCCAAATAAAGAGCTAAAAGAAACAGCAAGTTTTAACAGATAGCCCGCTTTCGCTGCCAATCATTCCTTTTTGGAAATCTTTGGCTAAGTTATTCCCATCTAGTTAATTTCATTAAATCCAATAAAAAAAAAACTCCCCTGCAGTGATATTTTTACACCGAAGATGAATAGAAAGATCACATGCCATAAGCAAGACATCTCTCAATTCTTCCCAGATCCCCAAAAAATATAGTTGCACAATAAATTATTTAAGAGCTTTTTTATTTGTGTTTAGAACTGCTGGTCGCATCTAGAAAATCAGAAGAATTCATTAAAGACTTAAAAAACTTAAATAAAAAGGATTAGTAAAAAAATATTTACATTTAGTTTTTAAAATGTTATGCAGCTAAGACTTATTTTTAAATTAAATAATAATGAAAAATCTACTTTAATATGGATTGCTACAATCTACAATCAAAAATTTAGCCTATGAGCAGCACATCCATAAGTAATTATTCAGATATCTCCTTCAGATGACAAAACTTGTTGCATTGATTTCATATTAGCTGCATTATCAGTCACAAAAAGTTTTGTGTTACAGGTTCGATTCCTTCTCTTGACAATTGTGTTAGATATTCACCAGTATAGGAATGACCAAATCCACTTTAATATGGATTGCTACAAGGTGCTGCCTTAGATGGCTATATATTTTTGCTTCTTATTCTTTTCTTCTTTTTTTTTTTTAAATATTTCTATTGTTATGAGGGGTTCTAGGCATTTTCTAGATAAGTGTTGTTGCTTATGCAAGGTTAATTTAATTAAAAGGTTAATTTAATTAAATCCATTGCAAATTTTATTTGTTTGATAAAAACGTCTAAAGATTGTATCTGATGCATAGTCTTTCCTTAAAAAGAATTGGTGCACACAAAAAAAAAAATTATTTGTTGAGGTACTTTTACTTTTTTGGCTTCTTTGTGACCTAGTTAGTGTGTTATTTACCAATTGTCTAGCTTATTATTTTGATTTTACTTCAAAAACTTATAGATAAATTTGATTTTCATTAACTTGTTTTGATGAATTCATTTCGTCCTGTTATTTGACAAATTTTATTTTATTGCATATAACTAATTTATTAGTTAAATTTGATAGTTTTCGTTTCAATTTTTCATTAGGCATTATTTAAATAGACATAAATAGCAATAATAATAATATATTCCATGACTAACCTGTTCATTAAACTTTAAAAGTTTTAGAATCAGCAAATGTTGAATTATGTGGATTATTTTTGGCACATCACATTGTTTGTGTTCTTGCAAGTTAAAAAACAATATGTGCAACTATGTTACTATATATGGTTTTATTGCACTTTAAAAAAAATTATTATCTTAGCAAACATTTGTTGTATGACATTTCGTATATTGCTATTTATCCATCCACAAATTTAAAACATAATTTAAAAAGTATCTGGATTGTAGGAAAATCCTGAACATATACTTAACCAAAATGAACAAAATTGGTATAGAAGAAGATGAACTTCCCGGTTAAATGCTTTTTCACATTGCTTGTGAGTCCAGAAGTCCTCAAATTTTTATGGACTCCAGAGACTCCGAACTTCTGGCTAAAACGTGCCTTTAAAAGTCAATCAATATAAAAACCTAAGCATTTGCTTTAATATATATACATAAATATGCATTATATATATTTATTGTATAACAATGTCTATTATTGTCTATTATATATAACTATAAATTAAAGTACTGCAAAAATTTAAAATCTTTTTTTTTTTTTAATAAATTAATGTAAAACTTTATTAAAAAAAAAACATAATTATATCCCTTAGTTTAAATACCTTTGTTACTTTATTGATAAGTGTATATATGATTAAATATTAAATATAAACTTAGACCTAAAAGGTTTAGTTTATTTGTTAAATGCAAATCTAATTTTTCTGAACTTTCTCAAAAAACTGAACTAATATTTTTTTTTATCTCCAAGAAGTATTGTGTGCATTGTGAATGAGTTTGAAAAATTAGAATTTCAAAATAATTTATCTTCATTTCTTTATTTAAAACAAAATAAATTTTAACAAATTCTAAAAAAAATTTATTTTAAGTTTTTATCACTATTAACTTTCTATAGTTTTCTTTTTTTTTTTTTTTTTTCTTACAAAAATTACAAAATGTCTTCACAAATGATATTTCAATGTAAGTAAATTAAAGATCTGTAATTATATTATTTTAAAATAATAAATATATGATTAGGTGTTGGGTATAACTTCAAATTGCCCTATAATAAACGATAAAATAAAAGAAATATTGCTAAAATAACATGCATTGAGCTTTTCTTTAACAAGAATGACTACAAAAATAATTTTAAAAAACTCTTGTTAAGTACATGTGTAAACAAAATGTATTTTACTAAATAAATCATTAAAAAGACAATCAAAGATTAAAAAACAAAATAGTTGAACATACTTTGAAGAAGATAAACTATTTCTTCTTGTTTTACTCCTAAAGCCATAGTGAGAAACAAAACTGATAATTATCTAATAATAAAATTTTAATTTAGAATAGGTGTTATATTATAACTTCTATCTATGTAATAAATTTTTTCCTTATAACTTACAAGGAAAAAATGTATTACAAAAATAGGAAAAAAATGTAAGCAGATAACATTTGAATTTAATAAAAATTTAGACAAAATAAAAATAATTCATGATTATTAAAATTATTTTAGAAATTATTTTCATTAAATATCTCACTAGCACAATAATATCAACAGTTGAGTTCAAAAGATATAATAGAAAAACATTATATGAATTTTTTAATCATGTTACATTTTAGATGTTAAACTTTAACAACTTTCACTTTTTCATTATATGTCACTGTTTACCTCATTTTAATACTTTTTTTTTTTTCTAAAATTTTTTGATGCAATGATTTTTTGATTCGAAGGCATAATAATAGTGATCTATTATTTTGCATTATATTATATATTATAAAATACATTATTATTATGCATATTATATATATTGTGAATTACAAAGGCATAATATTATAATTTATAATGTTATGCCTTTGTAATTCAATAGCAGAATGTTATAATAGATTACCGGGAAAGAGTTTAGAATTTTATGCTAATAAACAAAGAATAAAACAAACATCTAAAAATTTTAACGCTTATATAAATTAGCAACATAATGAACGAAAGTTATAAGAAACGTAAGATGTATTTAAGAACACAAAAGTTGTAATTTAGAAAAAAAAGTTGTAATTTAGAAACGAAAATTATAATTTAGAAACGAAAGTCGTAATTTAGAAACGAAAGTCGTAATTTAGAAACGAAAGGTGTAACTAGGAAACGAAAGTTTCCTAGTTACACCTTTGTGTATGAAGTGTGTATGAAGTGTGACGCTTCATACACACGTGTGTATGAAGCATAGATGCTCCATACACCCGTGTGTATGAAGCATCTATGCTTCATACACACGGGTGGGGAAGTTTGTTAATTTTCGGAAATATTTCCTAGCTACTCCATGATTATTAGGGATTTTTTATGTTTCCAAACTTAAATATGTTTATATCTTCTGCCGAATGAGGAGGTTTTGCAAAAATTTGGGATGGCGGAACAAAAAAAGCCCTAAAATGTTTGCCCCTCTACCCAGAAGTGAGGGTACTAATATTGTAAAATTTTCAACTTTACTATCGTAAACTAAATTTAAACTTATCAACAGTTTTAGAATCTTGTAGAAAAATATTGTAAATTACAAAAATTATGACCATGCAAAATTTAAACATTTAGGGCGGGGGTCGGAAAATTGACATGGTCATAATTTTTGTAACTTATAATATTTTTCTACGTGATTTAAAATCTGTCGATAATTTTAAATATAGTTTACGATAGTAAAGTTGAAACTTATACTACATTAGTGCCCTCACGTTTGGGCAGGGGGCAAGCGTTTTAGGGTTTTTTTTGTTCCCAAGCCTCCACCATCACAAATATTTGCAAGGCCTCCTCATTTGACATAGGTATGAACATACTTAAATTTGCAGTTTGCACAATGTGTGAAAGTGTTCTATCTGAAACATCAAAAAGTCCTGCGGGGCCCGCATACTTCACCGTTTTTTTTTTAGGACGGGAAACAATTTTGCAACTTAAAGTGGTCTTAATTACACACAGTATTACACACTCGTATTTCTGTTAGAGTTGTTTACGTTAAAAACGATCTTAAAAAAATTAGAGTTTTTTAATCAAAACGTGCACATATACTAATTACAATAAAAAATTTGTCGTCAAAAATCAAATTACTGTATATAATAATAATTAACTTATCTAACTTCTATAAATAAAACAAAAAATACAAAATATTATAAAAAAAAAGTTTTATTTCTTTATTACGGCATTAACAAAGCCAAAATTTCTGGAGTAGTGGTTTTGCATTTGTATCTTTTGAAACTTTTAATTTTTTGTTTTTTGAAACTTATGTTGATATTACTGGATTACTTCTGGTAAAAAAGTATCAGTAATGGATACGGTTTTGTATACAAGATACAGTTGCTGTATAGTTCAATTTAGCTTTGCACAATTCCTTATTCAGAGCCTCTAGTGACTCCTAAGACTAGTAACCAATAGGAAATTCTAGTGTCTCAGCTAACGTCAAACCATCGTCGGGCTAAAAAAAACTTACCAGCTCTTATTTGCTCGGAGATCTTGCTTGAACCTTACATGAACTTTAAGAAATGCGTTCAGAAAAGCCTTGTAACTACTTAAAGATGACGTACTACGACGGTAAATGTTAACTGGAGGATTGATATTTACAGGAAAAACGTGCAAATAACAAATACTGGAAAAAGTTAACTCAGGCTTGAAATACTTCTTCCTTAAGGCTCTTAGTTGAGTAAAGGCTAGAGGTGAGTAAAGTTGATGTCTCAATTAAAGTACTGTTTATACTGGCCTAAGCTTTAGTTAATATGTTATGTTGTAAGTAGTTTATTGGTCTAGGCTTTAGTTAGTATGTTATGTTGTAATGTTATGTTGGCCTCAAAAAGATTGAGGTCGGCAATAATTTGGCGACCTCATTTTTCCTAATTCCGAGGGTTGCATTGTGTAAAAAAATTGAAATTAATAATTTATTTCTAATCATTTATATATATATATATATATATATATATATATATATATATATATATATATATATATATATATATATATATATATATATATATATATATATATATATATATATATATATATATATGTATATATATATATATATATACATATATATATATATATATATATATATATATATATATATATATATATATATATATATATATATATATATATATATATATATATATTATAATGTGCTTGTATATTTTATTTGTTTTATCGATGTGTTTTTATTTTCACTTTTTAAGAACATCTTTAATGTACTTCTTATTTTAGACTTTTTTTCAATTATCAAGTTTTTTGACATTAGTGTAATTATTTATTAAGTTTAAAAGCTTTTTATTTTATTTTTTTATGAAATATTTAAATATAAAAAGCAATCTTTAGATCACCATTAAAATTATAATTTTGAAGTTCAAGAATTTTAAGTTTATGTTTTAATAAAATTATTATTATATTATTAAAAGTATATTTGAACCTGATAAAAGTCTTATAGTTTTACCATATCCATTGTAAACATAATTTACTTTATCTTTAAGATTAAAAAGTTTCATAATGTTTTGAGTATTAGTTGTTAGCATTTACTCTTAAACTACATGGTTTAATACAGTGACTTATACGTTCACCTTTACAAGTTTCTATTTACTAAGTCTAGTTGCCATTCCAGTTCTCCTTCTGGTGTATTTAAAGTATTCTTTAAAGCCGTCTCTTACTTGCTTTGGATCTTTTGAGTAGTTGTTAGAACCTGAATGTGACAGTGGATGTTGTGCTGCAGAACATGAATTATCTTGTCTCCAACTACCTGGTCTAAATCCAGCAGGACCGTCGATATCGGTGTAATTTGTGGGACAGTAGAGATAATTATTTGCTGGTCTTTTTTTCATAAGAAAGTTATGTAGGGCTACAATAGCTTAAGTAATTAAAATGACTTTTTTAAGATTAGCAATGATTGGTCTGCAAATTATTCGAAATCATGTTATAGCAATACCAAACGTATTTTCAATAACGCTTCTGGCTCTTAAAAGTCTGTAATACAATGTTTTTTGATCTAAAGGAATGTTTTGATTAGGGTATGATTTCATCATGTGTCTCTTTTACTAAAAGCATCGTTGGCAACAAAAACGTACGGTAATATTTTTTCTGAATTACCAATATATTCACCAATATATAATTCATTATTGTTAATTGCATAATGAAGACTGCAACTGTTAAAAACGCTACCATCACTTTGTCTTCTCGAGTCAGCATTACAAACAGCTAGAAGAACTATGCTATACGTTTTCTTATAGTTAAAATACTCTGATCCGCCATTATGAGGAGCTTGCATAACGATGCGCCATCTATTGCACCTATAGCATGCGGAAAAAGCGCGCTAAATGTTACGCTAAAGTTACGTGGAAATTAAAATTCTGATTCTGCGAAAAATTAGTGGCGAAAAAGTTTGCTTCGCGCGAAATAATTCGCTCCGTGGAAAGCCGCTTTTAGATTAGCATAATCAATTAAAAGAAGACGTCTTAAAGACATCGTATATAAGACTTTTAAAGACGTCTTTTCTTTTCCCACTGGGTTGATACTGCGAAAAAAATGTAACGCTTTTACCAACACTTAGCTAACTGTTTTATAAACTGTTGGTACCATTTACGGCCCAACAGCAATAAAACAGTTGGCTAACAGTTGGTACCATTACCGGTCCAACTATATGATTTTTTTCACAATTTTTTAAATTTGCTTTTGCATTTTAATTGAAAGTGCAAATATTAAAAATGTTTTGAATATTGCTTAATAACAAAGTATTACTTTTCCCGTTACTACTTATTAGTGATTGATTGTATATCAGATTTTACCAGTCAAACAGTACTACTACACACACAAGATATTGTATTATTTATACCTAATCGAATAAACATAACAAACAAAGTTTTTAATCGTTATACTTTTATTTAATCATTAAAGATCATTAAAGAAAATTATTTACAAATAAAAAACTAAAAATATTCTACTATTGTAGTTAACGATATAAAGACCGCATTAAGATTAGTTAAGTTCTTTTTAAAACATGTCACAACACAAGTACCAGAAAAAGAAAGACAAGTAAAGCCTGCAATTACCTAAAAAAAAAAGAAAAAAAAACTTACAATTTTAATTAAAAAAGTATCATTTGCATTTTATTGTTGACTGAATTAGGATAATAATATAAAAGAAAATATAAAGAATAAAAAATGGCTTTAACAGCCTAGTTCTATCAACATAAAACACAGTAACAATAGCGAATAGCATAAAATATTTGTAAGCGCACCTTACTATGCCTCCAGAGTAATTAAAAAAGAAAAAATCAAAAAAAGGAAAAATACAACACAATGAAATATAAATATAAATATAAAAAAATAAATAATAGTAACGTGACATAAGCATATTTCGGACATATTTTTATTTCGGATGCGTACTAAAAAATCATATTTTAACGTTGAAATTTAAAAATTTTAAATAATTTTTTTTCCTTTAATATTACGGAAACAATAGTTTTTCATAATCTAAAAAAATATATATTATCTATTATCATTTTTTAAATAATATGCATTCAAAGTATAATTGAATAAAACTTGAAAATCTTGCAAACAAAAATTAAGCGACCATGAGTGGCTACAATAAACTTTTTTTTCTAGTATGTTCTTATTGCTCATTTAAACAATATTATTATTTTTTTAAATCCTACCCGTTTAGCTAAAACTTTGAATTTGCAAGACTTTGGTAAATTCGGATTTTCTTTATATTAAGTATCTATACATATTTATCTATACATATAGATTAATATACATAATGGAACTAGAATTAGACAGGGTGTTAAAGAGTGATTTTCAAATTAAAAATATTACAAAAAAAGATAAATTGGAGGCGGCTTTAGCAGAATTGGCAAAAAGAACATTAAACCAAAAAAAAGCAGCTCAAAAATACGGCACACCAAAATCCGCTTTTAATAATCGTGTAAATGGAAAGCATACTGGCAAGGTTGGTATAGGAACTGTTTTAACTATGGCTGAAAAACTTATGCTAGTTGAATATTTTGCTCATCTTGCAAAAATTGGTTTTGGTGCTTCTCGATTCGAAGTTAAACAATTTGTTAATAATTATCTTATTGAATCGGATCAAACGCATCTGTTTCAAAAAAGGTGAATTGACTGAAAATTAGTATTATGGCTTTACGTATAGAGAAAAAAAAAAGCTTGCCTTTAAAACGCCTAACAATACAGAATCTAAACGTGCTGGAACATCTAATAAACTAATTTTTAATGCTTGGTATAAAGAACTGAATGAAATTTTTGACAAATATGGTTTTCATACAAAGTCTATGCATATATTCAATTGCGATGAGTCCGGTATGCAATTTTTAAGTGGAAATAGTAAAATTATATGTGGCAAAAGCAACAACTATCAAAAGCAACAACCATCAAAAGCAACAACCATCAAAAGCAACAACCATCAAAAGCAACAACCATCAAAAACAACAACCATCAAAAGCAACAACCATCAAAAGCAACAACCATCAAAAGCAACAACCATCAAAAGCAACAACCATCCTAGAAGAATATCAGCTAAAAATGAAAAAAAACTTATACTATTTTTGATGGTCATTCATCTCACTTATCAATTAAATTAATTAAGTGTGCTAAAGAAAATAAAATGATATTATTTAGACTACCAGCTCATACAATTCATTTAACACAGCCACTTGATGTTGGGGTATTTAGAACAGTGAAATCTAAATGGCGAGAGGTGCTTTAATACTTGCTTAAAGATCGGTAGCGATATTAATAAAGAAAAGTTTTCTCATCTTATGAAATACGTAGTTGAATATGGATTCATTCTTAAAAATGCAAGAGCTGGTTTTGAGAAATGTTGTTTGTTTCCATTAAATCGCAACAAAATAGCTGATTGTCATATTAATGAAGTATTTAAGCCAGTAAATGAAAATAATACAAATAATGTATCAGCATTAACTACAACACCAAGAACATCAAACCCGCTAGTGAAGCGTAATAATTTATTGCGAGAAATAAATAATGTAGTAAAATCTTATCAACCATTTCAACAAATATAAAAAAATACGCTAGTTAAAATATTGCAAAGAGAAAAAAAGTTCAGTCCAGAAAATAACAAAAAGTACACAAGTTAAAGGTAATTACTTTCAGATTAACTAAATACAGACAAAATTAACTTCAGATAATTTTGTTGCTCAATTAATACTTAAAAAAAGATGAAGATAAAAAGAAAATAGATGAAATAGCTCAACAAGCAAACGAAAGAGCAACAAAACAAAAAGAAATTGCTGACAAGCGTAAAGAAGACGCTGAAAAACGTAAACAATCAGCTGAAAAACGTAATCAAGAAGCTGAAAAACGAAAACATGCTTCTGAAAACGCAAAGAAGAAAATGAAAAACGCAAGCAAGTAACAAAGACAAAGAAACATAAGACAAAAAAATATAAAAATGAATGAAACAAATGAAATTGTTGAGTCCACTGTGGTCGCAATTACAAATGAAGCTATTGACAATAATCAAAATACTATTCCTTCATGGCAAACCACACAAATTGTTCAACCCACGGCTTGTGAATGTGGTAAAATTCATCAGAAAGACCCTTTCAATTATTAATGGACGAATTGTAAAAGTAGATGTGGTAAATGGTTTTGTGGTACTTGTTTATTTTTATTAATGAGATATAATTTCAATTTGAATTTATATTTTTTTAAATGCAAATGTAAACAGTTATCTGTTGAATAAAAATCCGAAATTAAATAAATGGTTTTGTATTAAAAAAAAAAAAGTCCGATCATTAAATATATGCTCGTGTATGTAATTATTTTTTTTTACTATAAAAAAAAAAAAACGCTTTATTTTCGCAACTTGGATTTTTTTTCCGAATTAACAATATACACTGCATGATATTTCGAATTTTTTAGTAGTGTTTTTATAATTAAATTCTTAAATAAAATATAGCACTTTTTTTTTTTTTTTTTAAATGGTAAGTTTTTATGCAGCTTGTCGAGATCTACAAGATTATGTAAAAATATTTTTAAATTTCTAAAGTTTAAACGTCCTAGTTTTCTTTCAAAGATAAAAACGTCCAAGTATATGCATAACTCACGTTAACTGGTTTTATTATGTTATCAGTAAACAAAATTATTTTCACCTTGATTAAAAGTTAATTTCCAGCATTTCTTAATTAAACTCCAGCTTTTCTTTAACTGTTGACTAATAATTAATAGAGTAAATTTCACGTCATATTAAATTTATATAGTTAAAACCATGTTTCAACAGTAAACAAACTAATTAAGTGATAACAAAGGCAACTAAAAAAAAAAGAAAAAAAGAACATAATTATGTTTGAAATTATAAAAAAATTTAAAATCATTTTGATTTTAAACTGTTATTAATTGTTACTATAAACAGTAGAACTCATACTTTGCTTAGTTCTAAACTGTCTAAAGTAAAATCAAACTAACTGACAGTAACATGAATTCATGACAATGAAAACATGACACTGAATTCTGACAAGTAAGTTTTCTGCTCGCAGAGCAGCATTTCTTACATTTCAACAACGATTTATTTTATCTTGCCTAGATCTAACTCTTTCACTTGACAATAAATATTTTCAAGTTGCCTATTAACATTTACATTAATAACTTCTTTGAGCATAATATTATTCACTTCAATTTCACTATTATCATTATCAAACGTAAAACAATCTTACAAATTGTGATCTTTTCTAATCAAAGACTAAACTTAATTAAACTATTTAAACATAAACTATTTAAACTTAAGATTTATTGAAATCCGTATCTTTTTTTGTTTATATACATAAATCATTTATCAAAAATATTAAACTATATTTATTTATATCAATTATTTTTAATTAACAAAGGATCTAGGCTACAATGCACTAAATTATTTAAGTAAGTGATCAATAAATTACTGACTATGATCACTTTCGTATCAAAAATTACAGTCAGTTTTCCATGTTAAAATACATAAAATATATATATCTAATATAATATTTATCTTATATATAAAATAAACAAGACAAAAAATATTTTCAAGTTGCCTAATAGCATTTAAATTGATAACTTCATTAAGTCAAATATTATCTAGTGGGTACGGACGTAAAAATTACGTCTTTTAAACGTCTTTTAAACGTTTTGGACGTCTTTTAAACGTTAAAAAGACGTCTTTTTTTGGTCTGGTGTCCACTGGGTATCTACTTCAATTTCATTATTATTATTAAACATATTACCAGTAATCTTATCATTGTTTCAACTGAATATATAAACATAAAATAATCTTACACGTTGTGATCTTTTCTAATCAAAGAACTTAAGATTTATTAAAATCCATATCTTTTATATTTATATACATAAGTCATATATCAAAAAGATTAAACAGTATTTAATTACATCAATTATTTTTAATTTAACAAAGAATCTAGACTACAATGCACAAAATTATTTAAGCAAGTGATCAACAAATTACAGTCAATTTTTCATGTTAAAATACATAAAATATATATCTAATATGTAAAAAAAAAAAATAATATATAAATCTGAAAACAAATAAGTAAAATACCAAGAACAGACAAACATTTGTTTATTAAAACTATTATGTTTAAACAAATAAAATTAAACAAAGAGCAACATCAACTCTCCTTTAAGGCTAAGAAAAATTTTTAGCTCAAATTTGCTTGCAGGCCTTGCTTGTAAAACCATGTGAATAAAAAAAAAGTTTAGAAATGCCTAGAAACTACTTAAAAAATGACATATGCTGCATATGACAAATGCTCCAGTCATTGTCTAAACTTCAATGTTGCACATGATATGCTACAATGAAGTTTGAACGTTGACTGGACTAATTATTAGTAGATATTTTTAAAAAATTTATAAATATTTACAATATTTGTTCTTTTATTTAGTATAAATCCATCATATGATAAACCTGAAATAAAAAAATGTAACGAATAAGTAAATAAAAAAAACAAACATCATATATGAATCAAAAATCAATGTATCCGATAGATTATTGTCAATAAAAATAAGGGCATAAAATTAGTCGTTTAGAGAAGTGCTAAAAATAATACCATTTATATATGTTATTATTTTTATGTATTTTTTTTTTTTTTTTTTTTTTTATTTGCATTCACTCCCAACAAGGCTGCAAGCAACCACTATTAAGTTGTTACTAGGGGGAAAAAAAAGAACAGAGTTATAGAGCAAGGAAATAGTTGATAGAAGACATGAAAAGTTGAAGGTTGTATGAGTCAGGAAAACATGAAGATGGGAGAGAGTTCCAAAGGATTGAAGTGCGGGGAAAAAAACTAGATGAATAAAAGTTTTTAGAGCATGCAGGGACAGATACAGAAAACGAATGAGACTTAGCTGAATGACCAGTAAAACGAGAATGAATTTTAGTTGATGGAACTAGAGATGATAACTCCTTTGAGCAGTGACCATGATAGTATCTGTAGAAAAGAGAAAGAGATGCAACTTTACGACGATGGGAAAGAGGTTCAAGCTTAGCAGATAGTCCAGGTCCAACAACATTTACAATGCGTTTTTGGACCTTGTCAAGAAGAGAGATTGAATCGTTAGAAGAACCAGCCCAAATATGACAACAGTATTCCATACAGGGACGAATAAGAGATTTGTAGAGGTAGAGAACGGAATCAGAAGTAAGGAAATGGCGAGCACGATAAAGAGAAGCAACCTTAGCAGAAGCTAATTTAGCAATCGATTGTATATATGGTTTCCATGAAAGGTCAGTAGTAAGCGCTAATCCAAGAAGAAGTAAAGAGGACGACTCAGTAAGAGGATTGCCATTCATTAATATAGGAATGTTGACCATATTACGGTAGTTGTTTGCAGTAAGCAATTGGGTTTTTTTAGAGTTGAAATTCACAAGCCACTGTGAACCCCAATCTATTACTGAAGTGAGATCAGATTCAAGATTAGCTGCTTGTTCTAGGCGATCGAAAAGAGAAGACTTTGTGTCAAGACAGGAGTATAAAGTTGAGTCATCAGCAAAAAGAGCTACTTTAGATGAAAGGTTGTCAGGAAGATCGTTTATGTAGATAAGAAACAAAACAGGGCCCAGGATGGAACCTTGGGGAACCCCAGAAGTTACTGGAAATAAAGAAGAGTGTTGGCCTTCAAGGATGACTTTAATAAACCGGTTAGAAAGAAATGATTTGATAATCTCAAAAACTTTCCCAGAAACACCATATGAAGCAAGCTTATGGAGAAGACCAGCATGCCAAACTTTGTCGAAAGCTTTAGATATGTCGAGAGCAATAGCCCTAGCCTCACCGCCTCCATCTTATGCACGATAAAATCTTTCAGTTACAGCAGTTAGCAAGTCGGCCGTAGAGCAAGAGGATCGAAAACCGTATTGATTGTCTGACAGCAGTTAATTTGACTCAAGATGAGATGTGAGGAATTTGTTGATCAAAGACTCAAAGACCTAATAACAGAAAGAAGACTAATAACAGAAAGAAGACTGATTGGACGATAATTGGAGGGGTCAGAATTTTCTCCAGAGTTTTTGAATATTGGATGATATTCAAAAACTCTATCTATACACAGATACCATTTTCCAACAAGCAGGAAAACAAGACTCAGTCAAACACTTGTTAAATAGTTTAGAGAGAATTGAAGAAAGTTCTGGAGAACAATTCTGCAAGACTGTGATAGGAATGTTGTCTGGACCACAAGCTGTAGACGAGTTTAATTGAGATATGACTTTAGCAACAGAAGCCGAAGTGATTTGAATGTCTAACAATGGGTCAACCTGTTTGACTGGAATGGAAGGAAGAGAATGTCCATAAGATTCAAGAGTGGAATTAGAAGAAAAGTTCTTTGCAAATAGTTCTGCCTTATCATTGGGAGAGGTAATAAGATCAGTCCCATGAATGAGAGATGGAATGTTAGATCTACTCTTGTTAACAATGCTGTTGAAGATTTTCCAAAAGTCTTTAGAGCCTAACTTCTGCGATAAGATGCGAGATTTAGTGAACTGAGAATAATGGAGTTTAGCATCAGAAAGCACCTTTTTACATCGATTTCTTGCAATAATAAATAGCCGTTTGTTCTCAAGAGAGTTGTTCTTTTGAAAAAGATGAAAAAAATGATTACGATTGGATAAAGCAGCCGCACAAGAAGGAGAAAACCATGGAGTAGAATTATGATTGACTTGAAACCGACGAGAAGGAATAAAAGCTTCCATTCCAGCCTGAATCCAGGAGGTTACGTAGGAGGCGCATTTGTCAGCTGAGAGAGAAAAATCATCAGCCCAAGGACCATCACGAAGAAAATCACGAAAGGAATCCCAGTCAGCTTTAGGGTAGTAGTAGGTGGTGCAATGATAAGGTGAGCCCAAAAAAGAAGTACGAGAAGAAAGATTTATAGAGATCATTGCATGGTCAGAACCACCTAAGGGAGAAAAGGGAGAAACTGAACATAAGCTAGGGTCAGAGACAAGACATAAGTCAAGGAGTGAAGGTAAATGATTAGGGTTGTCAGGAAAACGAGTCACAAAGTTAACTATCTGAGTAAGAGATTGAGAAACGCAGAAGTTAAAGGCTTTAGTGCCAGCAGGATCAGTGGTGTTAGAGCCAAGCCATTCAGTGTGATGGGCATTAAAATCACCAACAAAAACAATATTGGCAGAGGGGTAAAGAGAGAGGGCATGGTCAATTTGATCAGAGATAACATCTAAAAGAGTGCAATCATGGGAAGAAGGAGAACGATAAAGAACAAAGAGAAAGGTGATAGAGTGAAGAGGTGCTAGGCGAAAGCACATAAAAGAATGGTCAAAGGATTCGAACCTGATTTCACGACAAATAGGGGAATTAATGCGTATGTATACCCCTAAACCTAGCATGTGACTATTGGAGTCTTTACGAATCAAAGGATAGTACCCATCAACACTGACATCTGAAGAAGGAATTGCAGAACTTAAATTTGTTTCACTGAGTGCAAGCAAGTCTGGTGAATTTTGCAGGAGGTAAGACTCAACTGATGGAAAGTTGCTTCGTAGACCGCGAATATTTGTAAAAGATATATTAAAATATTTAGGTGGTGGGCATGGTTTTTTAGGTTTTAAATTTTTGGTTACTTTGGTCATGATTTGGGTTTAATGAGAACTTGACTCATTCATAGATAGAGCACAGTCTCCTAATCAATGAGCTATGCAGTTGTCTCTGTCCTGTTAATTAACCCTAAGCCGTGACATAGGGCTCCTTATGTGGCCTTGACAATGCACACCAAAAGCATTAACAGGGACACCATCCATGCGCAACATGGCACTGTTAATACTCTGATATTTTGCAGCTGTTGATGGAATCAGCCTCTCTGAGAGCTACCACAGAGTTCGGGAAACCTCACTACCAGCCGGCCTCAGAACCATTAAACTGAGTTTTAGAGCTGTACCCTCATATGGAGATAACAGGAAGAGTTGCATAGCCATTATCAAGGAGGCATAAGCAAAAGTCTATGAGTAGAGTCAAGGAGATCCAGCATTCATCATCCTAGGCAGGAAACAATGTAACACAGGTTACATCTACGCCAGCCTAATAGATGAAGAAGGGGTTCGAGGCTGGTTAGCCGAGTTTTTCTGCTTACCCCTAAAGTCTTTGCCTAGGAGGCTTTCTTTTGTGTTTGAGGAGGCCTGCATTTTGTGTTTGAGAGTGATATAATTTATAAACGTAGGTATAGCTTATATATAAGCTATGCGTACATTTATAGATTCAGTCACTCTCAAACATAAAATGCATACATATAAATTATTATATTATAACATATATATATACATGATTAATCCTCAAAGTTGCTGTGTGTTTTCTTGTTTCAAATAATAATAACTCACAGAGTTAAGATTTTACATACTTCCATGTGAAGATATTAGAAGGAAAGTATAGTTAAAGGTAATAAATCGTGCGCATGTTGACAAAAATGGAGTAGTTTAACTACTCCATCAAATATCTTCATATGGAGTTATGTTAAATCTTAACTCTGTGAATTATTATTATTATTGCTATTGTTATTATTTTTTATTGCTATTATTATTATTGTTATTGTTATTATTATTATTATTATTATTATTATTATTATTATTAATATTGTTATTACTATTATCATTATTATTAATAGCAAAAAAAAAGTATTTTATAAAAGTAATATTTATATTAATTATTTTATGATGCTTTTAAAGTCTCTAAGAACGAGAATTTAAAAAGTCTATACGAACGAGAACTTAAAAAGTCTCTAAGAACAAGAACTTAAAAAGTCTCTACGAACAAGAACTTAAAAGTCTCTACGAACGAGAACTTAAAAAGTCTCTAAGAACGAGAACTTAAAAATAATTTTCATTTAGGCTGCCTCACTGCAGGATTGCCCATATTTGTTTTTAGGCTTTACTGCATATATATTTTGAAAAGATATAGGGGTTAAGTTTAAATGACATTTAAACAACGTTGAAAATTAACTTAATAAACATTCATTCATTTTAAAAAATTCAAGTTAATTTGACGTTAACCGTATACATTTAAAAGAAAATTATTTTCAAAGGTATTTATTTATAAATCATTTTTATTTAAAGTCGCCGGTTTCAAACCTCAAAATTTAATTATCAAAAACAAAGCCGACCCAGTCGGCACTCATCGTTTGGGGACATCCGTCGGACGTCTCACGGACGTCTAGCGGACGTCCCCCAGACAACGCATGCCCACTGGAGATTTTAAATAAAAACCAACTTATAGGCGTCGATCTATAATAATCGTTAGAGATATATTGTTATAATCGTTAAAGATATATTGTTATAAACGTTAAAGATATATTATAAATTATAATTTATAAAATTGTAATAAAAAATAAAACGTTTGTTATTAAAATATCTTTACACAACCCTGACATTTTAAAGAAAATCTCAAAATAAATAGTAACCTGTAAAGCATTCTTAAATTCATGTTGGCTTATTTTTAAGAGTAATCCTATAATAAAATCAGTATGGTATTAAAGATTGTTTTATAAGTTACTTCTTGAAATATAAAGATTTTGAACTTTGAACTCAAGTAACATTTTTTAACTAGAATAAATAAAAATAAATAGTAAAAAAACTAATTAATCGTGCACTTTTTTACCAAAATATATGTGCATGTAGTTAAAAGGCAGTTTTGAAATCTTAATGAATATTTTTTTAAATCTTAATGTATATCTTTAGTTTTTGTAATCTCAATGTATAACTATATTTTTGTAATCTCAATGTATAGCTATCTTTTTTGTAATCTCAATGTATATCTATCCTTTTTTGTAATCTCAATGTATTTCTATTTTTTTCAAAATCTCAATGTATATCTATCTTTTTCGAAATCTCAATATTTATATATCTTCTTTTAACATTAGAACAAGAATTACAAATTTTCATTTCAAAACTAATAATACTATGTGACTCGATAAAAGGTGCACTTTCCAGAGCAGAACAGCAAAACAGACTATAGTTATTTAAACAAAATGTGAAGCATTTTTTGCTTAACACTTTTACATTGAAACAACAAAAAAAGAATTTATTCGCTTGTATACCATAACTAAATTTAGTTAAAAAGTAAAAAAGGCAGCCATGGCGTATTGATAGCGCACTTGCCTCAGAAACAAATGATCTGTGGTTTAATTCCACTTCTGGGCAAGTTTCGCGACATCGGATAGGAAGGAGGCGTCAACTTTCAATTAAATGCTCATTCGTGGTGCTCTGTGATAAGACCGTAAGGACTTCTTGAGGCACCTAAATAAAAAATAAAAAAAAACAGTTCCATTTTTTTATTTGAGCCTTTGGCGAGGTGCAGAACACTTGGAATAAGTAACTGAAAATACTTTAAAATATAGAATGTTTCACACATGAAAAGCATAAAGAAAAGAGGAAAAAATTCACTTCATCAGACACTTTGTATTATAGCTACATGTTGGCCATAAGTTGCTTACACCAGATTGACATAAATACTATTACCACATATAGCCTATTTTTCTGCCATCCCATAAATTAAGTGCGATAATCAATTATTGACACTTTTTTTTTTTAAACATTTATTTTTCCCGTCGGGTATTAATAATTCTTTTTAAGAATTTAAAAAATAGATTCACTTTTAAGAGAGACGATAAATTTTTAGATATTAAAAATTGTAAATGATTTTTGTAAATGATTTAACACTTTAATAATTGAGAAATACAAAAAACAATAAATTAATAAAACAGATAATAAGCTTGGCAAAATAATTAATAATAAATAAATAGGCTTTACAACAAAATAAAATAAAAATTTCAAAGTAAAAATAATTACTTATTGTTTAATAATAAAAATATTATTAATCAATAAGTAAACTTCTATTTATTTTTATAAACAAATCAGTTTTGATACATAATATACATATTTTGATACATATAGTTTTACAACATAAAGCCATGCGCATAACCAAGTTCACAGTGTTTTTAGTTTTAACTATAACAGTAGCATTTACAGTTGCATTATACATAAGCAATACACATTGGTTGCATTCAGAAATTTTAGAAAGAAGTCATACATTATTTTTTAAAAAAGTTGATGGAAGTATTGGAACAAACTTATTTGTTAAAAATAAACATGTTTATGGAGCGACAGAAAGGTGGCAAAAAGAAAATAAAGTTCAAAAAACACAATCAGATCAGATTTATAAAGAAAATAAAGTCCAAAAAACACAACTATATCAGATTTATAAAAGTCATTATAATTATAAACCTTCAGCACGTGACATACAGCACAAGGTACACAAAAGTGATAAACACCTGAGTGAGGAAGAACCACAACAACCTCATAAAATATGTACAGAAAAAAGTGTAAAGGATAAAAAAAAAGATAAAGAAGATGAAATGCAAAATGATAAAAACAAATCGCGCAATCAAAAACTGTCAAATAAGAGTTTACAATCTCAAAACATTACACATGAAATCCAAAAAAAAATTTACAAGCACTCAGAATACCCAGAAAACAAAATTAAAATTCAAAATGTATCAACACAAATAATAAAAAATAAATGTAAAAACAACAAAGTTTTTATTTGGACAATTGGTCGATCAGGTTCAACGTTAATCGGGAAATTATTGAACAGTCATCCAGATGTGCAATATTATAATGAACCGCTCCATCGTTTTTACAGAAAGGTCTTACGTATTCATATACAATTATACGGAACCGAAAATCGTGAGGAAGTACTTTTACCTGCTATTTCAAAGATTAACTCAATTTTCAATCAATCATTCAATCCATGCAAACATATTATTATAAAAGAACTACACCCACGGTTACCAGGGGGGTTAACTCACTTTTCTCCTAATTTAAAAGATACTATTAAATTTATACATCTTATAAGAGACCCGAGAGCGGCTTTAAATTCTATGCTTAACTTGAGATGGTTCAAAAGTACTGACTTACCTGTTGTTGCTACTAAACTTTGTCAAGCAACATTAAGAGACTTCAAATTTGGTCTCACATACATGAATCAAAGTATATATTATATGATAAAATACGAGGAGTTATGCACAAACCTTAGTCAAAATGTTATGGCTTTATTGAATTTTACTCAACTCAAAAAAAGTTCTCAAGTAAATGATTATATCATGAAAATTCAGCAAGCAAAAAATGAAACTAATAACCCTTATGACACACAAAAAAATCTTAAATTACAAATATTTAACTGGAGAAAAAGCATTAATATGAGTGTCGTCAACACAATTGAAAGCCATTGTTTGGAAATGATAAACACCTTAGGCTATAAACTTGTAAATGGAAATATAGAAATTCTTAGAAATCTGTCAATACCTTTGCATTAGATATATAATAAGAAAAAAAATAAAAAGTTTGTTAAAAAACTTACTAATCAAAAAATAAAGCCAGCTTCGCGAGCTGGCTTTATAATTTTTTTTTTTTTAAAAGTAATCAAAAAAAAAGATCAAAGCTATTTATGCAACACGTTTGTAAGTCAAATACGTGCGTAAACTTAGCTTTGCTAAAGCTCGGGTTCACACAGTTGTCGTACTACGGTTGTACATCAACAATGTTTTATAATGGAAATTTTTTTAGTAAATTGCACAGCTCAGGGCCGATGACACGGGGGGAGGGGGCAGGGGCCCCCACTTTTTTTCTAGAGGACCTTTTTTTTTTCTTTTTTCTTAAGAAAAGATTTTTTGAAGCAATTTTTTTTTAAGATATAGAAGACATTTTTCACAGATTGATGATTGTGCCCCAAACTTCAAAACCCGTGTCGTCGGCCCTGAAGCTTAACAATAAAATTTTTATTGTAAAAGAATGGTTGCTGAAAGAATAAAATCAATATCAAGAACAATTGTTGTATAAAATTGCAATTCAATATATATATATAAATATATATATATATATATATTACAAACTTACAAAAAGATATATATATATATATATATATATATATATATATATATATATATATATATATATATATATATATATATATATATATATATATATATTAAAGCAAATTAACGGAACTACGTAAACTAAGAGTTGGGTGAGTTAAACGATAAGAATTTTTTTTCTTTGATAACTTTGGTAATATTATTTGTATTAATTATTTATAAGTTTTGAATTGAAAATCATTTGAATTAAAAAAAATATTACGTGCGGGCAATTTATGTGCACTACCGCGCTCAAAATCTCAACTCGGTAGCATAGGATTTTGTTGAAAATCAAACAGAGATCAGGATTATCATGAATTTAGAGCAAACATTTATTGCATTTGCCCGTGGATCTCCAAAACAACTGGCATGTCTCAATAAATTTCAAAAGGTAGAGGATGTAGAAAGCGGAACATCACATTTTGCCTTACTCGAAGGATCCTTAGAAAACCGTCCATTATATCTATTACGAGTAACTATTCCGCCATCATCAACTGGTTAGAGGATTTTGAAAATCATTCAGATAATTCAACCCAAAATAAGTCAGAAACAGTCGGTTATCTGGAATCTTTTTGTAAGTTTGACACATTTTTTAAATTGGAACTTTTGCGTATGGTCTTCACGATAATCGAGGATGCTATTACAGCACTCCAAGGTAAATATTGTTTTATTTTATAGTGTTTTATTTTTATTTTATTTTAAGCAAATTACAATGTTAAACGTTTATTGAAAATCATTTAAGGCATGCAGCTTAATTTTTGCAAAGCAAGAAATACCATCAATATGATTAAGAAGGTGTTAAAAGAAGGTGATACTCGCTTTAAAGTTTTAATGTAATGCAGCTTTTGTAGCAGCAGAATGTAGTTTAATTGACAAACCAGAGATGCCATGGAAACGTAAAATTAAATCAAAATTTACTGGAAGTGGAGTTCCATACTTTGCTACGACTCCAGAGAACCAAATCCGTCAGCTTTGCTAGGCATCTCTGGATTGTGTTATAACGGGATTTGCAACCCGTTTTGAACCGACTGAGACCACTGAGCATTTAAAAAATGTAGAAAAATTTATCATTGGTCAGTGCTTGGAAGTTGGATTTGTTGAGGCTTTTTACTAAGATGACTTTGAAGATTATAGAAAGCTATATTCATTCGCAATATATTTGTGGATCAGGCAAAATTCAGGAATATTTAACTAAATGATTTTGAATCAGTTTTGAATGACCATAATGCTTGTAGACCATAATGGTGTCCTTTCTTACTTAATTCCACTGATTCCCGAGTTTGTGGAACTGGTGAAAATTTTACTATGTATGTCACCTTATGTACGTGTGAACGCTCTTTTTATTGTCTTCGTAGGCTTAAGACTTATTTGCGTTCTGCAATGTCTCAGGAACGATTGAATCATCTCGCTATTTTAAATTTCTGTCACGATATTTCCTACACTCTTGATCTAGATCATTTGATCGAAGAGTATATATATATATATATATATATATATATATATATATATATATATATATATATATATATATATATATAAATATATTAGGGTGGGTCATAAAATTTTTTTTTTCTTGTTACAGGCTCTAAACATTGCTAGAAAGTTGTTTTTTTATGTACTAATTTAGGAAAGTATTTACTTTTATGCATTGAACAATTTCTTTCACCCGCAACTATAATAACAAAAATTAGCATGCCCTATAATTATTCAAAAAAAAAGTTTTTCAAAATTATGTGATGTAGGTACTCAAATAAAGCAAAATTTTATAAAATATTTCAAAAATAATAATTTTTTCATATAAAAATTATTATTTTAGATTTTATTGCATAATAACCATAGTTTTTTAACTAAAAAAGAAAAAGGTGCATTTTTACATGTTTTTTAATAACAATTTTGTTCGGCAATATAATTTTTATAAAACAATTATTATTTATGAATTTTTAGAAAATTTCGCTTCTTTTGAGTACCAGGTTGACCCACTTTTGAAAAACTTTTTTTCTTCAAAATATTAGGGTTTCGGTAATTTTTCCATAGTATCAATATTAATAACTATTAGCAATGTTTAGAGCCTGTAACAAGAAAAAACATTTTTTAGACCTACCCTAATATATGTATATATTACCCTAATATAATATATATATATATATATATATATATATATATATATATATATATATATATATATATATATATATATATATATATATATATATTTTGTATATAATTTTTGTCGTTACATTTTATTGTTGTTACATCTGATGATCGCTATTGCGTGAAACTTTTAGTTATGTAATTGAAATATATCTTAATAATTATTTAGTTTTCACTATATATATATATATATATATATATATATATATATATATATATATATATATATATATATATATATATATATATATATATATATATATGTACACACAGAAGAAAAAGAAACAAAAAACACATACATGTATAAATGGATATGCACACAAATACACACCCCAGATAACATGAACACGTTGGTCCGACGTCGGGCCAACGTGTTTTATATCAGCTAGAAAAATTACGTCGGCATAACGTAGGAAATGCAATGTTTAAAATTATCGTTGTGGTTTTCTGCACTTAGCTTACTCAATAACTGAGTAAACAAAGCGCAGAAAACCACAATCCGCATTTTAAAACATAGTTAAAATTAGTAAATTATCTAGCCAAATATAACAAGCCGGCCCGACGTCGGGCCAACGTGTGCTAGTTTTCTCGTGTTAATTTTTAAACTACTAATTGTTCCGTTGGTCAAATTAATTAGCTTAAATTATCCAATTATTTTTAGTTTAATTTTTTTTTTATTATTCTTTTTATTTTTTTGTTGCAAAAACTTACTTCTATACTTTATAAATAATGTACACAATTAAAATATTTAAACATAGTATTTATGGCTAGAGTAAATAGTTGGTAAAAAAATGCTACTTATGGTCTGCATTTTTAGTCAAAACTGTAAAAGAAAAATTCTTGGCAAACTTTTGATCAAAATGCCTAATTTATTACAACTTTTTTTATTACGTTTTTATTATGTTTACATATACTTTTTTGTAGTCGTTTTTTTTTTTTTTTTACGTTTTTTTACTTTTATTTTTTTAACTTTTATTTTACGCATTAAAGGTATAATAAATGGAAGTGGTTTAATATCATTGAAACAGTTTGTATCACGCGAAGAAGTGGTTTTACGAGAAACGAAACAGTTTGTATCATGCGGAGGAGTGGACGAAAGATTGATTTTAGTTAAAATAGTCATCACAAACAAATCGTAAGTAAATAAATCGTTTCTTGAAAGGTTTTTTATACAACTTATTTACAGACTTAAGGCAGACGTAGTTTTGTGGAGTTTCTAGAAACATATATACACATAGATACTTTTTAGAAAGAAAAAAAACTAATCTTGATTTTTTAAAGACTTTTAAGTATGATTCCTAACTTTTTTAAGGGATATTTTGCTCCTGAATATTAGGTTGATGTTCTCATTTGAATTTGTGGCCGAAGAAATGTAAAGTCAGCTTTTTTTATTATTTAAATAGTTTGTTTCATGCATTTTCTATGCACATGCTAAATTTTAATGAAAAAAAATAGGCAATTAGTTTAATTATTGTTAAACCAAGTATACCACTTTTTTAGGTAGCTCTAGGCAAACGGTTTTTTGAGGTGGTTCTTTTTAGAAACATATATAAACCTTGACATGTGAGGTGAGGCTTTATTTTTATATAACTATTGTGTGTTGCTGCTGTACTTTTTTATGGATTATTTTGCTGAGAGTTTTGGATGAAAATTTGGTTGATGTTGTCACATGAATTTGTAGTTGAGGAAATGTAGAGTCCGTTTTTTTCATTATTAAAATAGTTTGCGTCATGCCTTTTCTATGAACTTGCCAAATTTCAACGAAAATTAAATATAAGCAATTATTCTAATTAGTATTGGACTTTAGGTACCTAATTTCGGTTTTTCTGTTTGTTTTTTTTTGGTAAGCGAAATCCGGATGGGGTCGAAATCTTTGTTTAATTAAAGTTTTATTAAACATGATTTTACAAATTAAAAAAAAAAAAAATATCAATATATATATATATATATATATATATATATATATATATATATATATATATATATATATATATATATATATTATATTTATAAAATTTTAAATGTTGTTAAAAGTAAATTTATTTATTTAGGATAGTTATCTTGGTGTCATTGGTGGTGCCAACATTAAAGATATGACAAGGTGAGTATGACCAGCTTTGATAGCTAATGTTATCTAGTGAATTAAATTTCATGAAACATCGGGAAAAACATGCCTTTTCGGACTGAAAAGGCATGTTTTTATGATTAGAAAAAGAATTTAAAAGATTATGCTGCATTGACTATTTTATATTGATTGCTCGCTTAACCAATTTTTGATAGTTATGGCGAAAAACTATACTTTTTAAATTTAACAAGACACTTTATGAAATTTATAAATAAATTGAGATTTTCTTTTGTTTTATTAGATGCAGTTCGACTCAATCCATTGACAAAATAAAGCTACAGCTGGTGAAGTAGAAGACGTAGTGAAGGAATGGCTTCAAAACGTAAAAGGTCTGAGCCAAAGCCGCGCAAAGCGGAGAAGATTAGAGTTGAACAACGAACTTGCAAATAATGTTGATGACGAATAAAAACAATTCGCCACAATTGCAATATTGCAAAATAATATTATCTTGGCTATATGAATATTTTTTTAATTCCATTTTTAATTAGTACTATATATATATATACATATATATATATATATATATATATATATATATATATATATATATATATATATATATATATATATATATATATATATATATATATATATATATATATATATATATATATATATATATATATATATATATATATATATATATATATATATATATATATATATATGTATATATACATATGCAATATTTTTTATCTTTTTCCGGAACAATTTAATAAGGTAATTTTTATTAGAAAACTATTATATTAAATGTAAAAGTTTTGAATAGTAACAAATTGATTTATATGTTGATTTTGTAATTACTCATACTATTCATAACTTATTTAAACTAAAGTTTCACTTTAGATTAAATAAGTTAACATTTAGATTTAATAAATCTTAGTAAAGGGTAGTTGAAATCTTTGACTAACGTGTTTCAAACTGTTATAATACTTCAAGGGTATGATAGAAAATATAAATTTATGAAAAATTTTGCATTAAAGTTTTTTTTTCCAAACTAATATATTATTTCACTTTTTAGAGTAAGTAAGATATATTCTGATTAAGAACAATGCTTCATTAAACAATGAAGATGCATAAAGATGACAAATATCCAGAAATTCAGAAGCACCCTAGTTATAACTAATAACATTAAATCTACTGTATAATTGGCAAACAGTATATCGACATGCTTCGAAAGTTGGTGAAATATTTGCTGTTAACTATTTTTATATTTTTATTATTTAATAATTATTTAAATTATATAAAAAATAGTTAAGATAATAATAGAAAAACAAATAATTATTTTGCTGTTTTATTATGTTTTTTCGATAATTTCCTATTTTATTTTATAATCGCTATGAATAATAGTCGCTTTTGTAATCTCATTTATTGATCAAAATTAAAGCGGGCTAATGTCTTTTTACTGATTTCGGCCCGACGTCATTTTAATGATCTCGGCCCATCGTTGTTTTACCGATGTCATTTTACTCATATCGGCCCGATGTCATTTTACTGATATCGGCCCAACGTCGTTTTACTGATATCGGCCCGACGATATCGGGCCTACATCATTCTGATGAGCAAAAACTACGTTGGCCCAACGTAGTTAAACTACCATCGGCCGCTGTAAAAGCCTACGTTGTGCCGACGTTGGGCCAACGTGTATATGTTATCTGGGTCATGCACACACACACACACACACACACACACACACACACACACACACACATATATATACACCTATACATGACATACATAAACACCTATATATACACATACACATTAACGGAGATGTACAAAGCATATGTGTATACTCAGAGGCAATTTTAGGAGGAAGGGGTATGCCAATTGGTACTTTATATGATTCTACCTCCTCCAATGTTTTAATTTTAGAATCGCCTTTATGTATACATAGACAAACGCATATATGCAATTTTTTTTATAATTTTATTTTTACTTTTTATTTATTTTTATTTTCTAATTAATATAATAAAGAGCTGTAATGACCCGTACGATCATGGTAAATCTGTTCCACACCCAACTATATCTAAACTTGTTTTTAATTTGGTTTTCTTACATCAATGAATTTTAGTAAAGAGCAGAAAATCAATCAATTTAACACTATTGGCTTTTGGTTAACATTTAACTTATCATAATTTAAAACTATATTTATTGAATTTTAATTTTAATGAAAATTACCTAATACTTTTTCCGGTGTTTTAGGAAACTAAAGGTTTTAACAAAAAGATTTATGAATTAATTTTTAATTAATTTATAAATTGGTATAGCTCAAACGACATTTGATGATCTTTATCTCTCTAGTGACGAAGAAACATTTAGTAATAGCATTTTTAATACAATTCCGGTTTCAGTGGCTGAAGGAGAAGCGCTGAAGCGCTCTTTCAGTAGGCTTGCTCTCATCAGATTCCAATTGAAATATACTATGACTGAAGAACGCCTTACTAACCTTATGGTGATTTCAATTGAAAACGATCTTGCCAAGACTTTATTGGACGAAAATGTTATCTCTAGTTTTGCGATGAACAAAGTCCAAAAAACAAAAAGTAGGCTCCACATACTGTGTGCCATATTTGTGAAGAAAGTCTTCAAGATTGAACAAAAGGAAAAAGAAAGAATTTACCTTTTGGAATGAATTGGATTTTGTGTTCCTTCCAAACCGATGGTTTGGAAGAAACCACAAAATCACATTGACAACTGCTTTTTTTGTCTTGTTGATAATACTAGTATTGGCTAAATAAAGAGGCAAAAAATGGATTATCCCATTATTTCTTCAACTATTAGACCGATTCAACATTATAACGAGATTACATTTTTAATTTTTAGAGGTTTATTTTTGTCAGAAGATGAACAAAGCATGTCTGGTACAGAAGCAGAAGAATTTTTAAAAGATTTGCTTCTTATCTAATACTAAACAATTCAATTTGCCTAAGTGTTTTAGTCAGATAAAATTGAATGACTTAGTTTGTGATTTAGGACTTTCTAAGCAAGCAGCAGCACTCGATAGCTTTTCAAAAGTTTCTTATTTTAGAACAAGAGATAAAACGTTTGTTAAATTTTTTTCAAAAGTCAATTTATTTGTTTACAGTCATGATATTTTTTCATTAGAAGACGTATTATGTTATTATTAATAATATAAATTAATAACTTTGCCTTTTCTTATTTATATTTGTAAAAAGTTTATTCTTACTTATTTTGCTGATTTTATATTCTTTACTTCACGTATACGTTTATATAAAATATTAGTGAGTAGATCCGCGTGATCTCTCTTTGGATTATAAAATATATATTTGGATTATATATATATGAAATTTGTAAAAATTTGATACTGTTAATGCTTGTTTGAACTTATTTAAGGTTCTGACGACAAGATCCTTTGATCTTCTTTCAGATACCTTATTTTATATTTGTGAAAGTTTTTTATTATCATCATTATTTTTATTTTATTTTTTTTGGCAATATATAGTTGTAATACGACCAACAAATGTAAAATTTAAAAAAAAAAAAAAAAAAAAAAAAAAAAAAAAAATTTCAGGTCTCCTATTACAGATAGGTATTTCTGTATACAATCCAACAGAATGGAGACTTTTTATCGATAGCTCAAAGCAAAGCCTCAAATGCATTATATTGCACAACGAAAATATTTTTGGTTCTGTACCAATTGGTCATTCTGTTTATTTGCGAGAAACTTACAATGTCATTAAAATGGTGCTTAACTTGATTTAGTATAACAAACACAACTGGATTGTCTAAAAATGGTTAACTTTCTAATTGTTCAGCAGAAAAGTTTTACAAAGTTTTCATGTTATCTCTGTTAGTGGGACAGTCGACCAAGAAATTAACACTGGATACAAAAAGGATGGCCCATTCGCAAGAATATCACAATGGGTATGCACAATATTGTTAATGAACTCATTGTAAGTCGAAATAAAATAGTTTTTCCACCACTCCATCTTAAAATTGAAATCATAAAACAATTTGTTAAAGCACTGAAAACTGATAGTAATTGTTTTCAAACTCTCTTGGAAAAAACAAACAAACAGAAAACTATTCAGATTTAGATGAGAAAATGTTGAAAGCTTTTTGTGATTCTTGGAAATAAAATGACTATTAATAAAACTAAATATATATAAAATAAAACTTCATTATATAAATAGTCATCTTGACCAGTTTCCTAAAAATCTTGGAGATGTGAGTGAAGAGCAAGAAGAGCAAATCGATCTACATCATCATCCTTAGTCATCCTTAATAACAATTGAAGATTGTTACTAAGGACGTTGGGACATACACATGATGGAAAAACTGCTGTTGGAGCATGAAGCGACTCAGGAAAATTTTATAAACAAAAGAGTAACAAAAAGTTCCTCTTGATTAAATAGCTGCAATAAAACAGTCTGTAATCTTTTTTTCAAATCTAAAGTAAAACATGATTTTGTTATTAATCAATAAAAAGTTGATAACTTTTTTAGAACTTGGATATTTATAAAATGTTTATTTTAAACAGTTCCCATTTTATTTTCATCTGCTTTCTGTTTTTGTTTTAGTTTTGTAAACAACTTTTATTGTAAATAGTATATCCTAGCATTTTCAAAATGAGTTTCAAATCTGTATTTTAGAACTATTTCTAATGTTTTTCAAAATTTGTTTATTATTTAGTAATTTATACAATTATTGCAAAAAAATCTGTAGTTTTCTGCAATAATTGTATAAATTATGTTATTTATGCAATTGAGTAGTATTTTATATATAATTGCAGTTCAGTGGTAAAGGTGCATAATAGTAGAGAATATTTTCTTAGTTAAAAATGTTTTAAGATGTTCTATTTGTAACCACACCGTAACTATAAAGTTTTTGTGCATAACAAAAATTTTAATCATCAAAGGCTGATTTTAATTATCAAAGGCTGATATTTTTTTAGAATATGTTGTGAAATAAATTATATATACAGTCATAAAGTGCTTTTCAAGTTCAATATAAAATTGAAAATGTAAGTTTGATCTTCAATATTTCAAAAAAACTTATGTTTTTATAACCACGAATGCTTTGTAAGCATTGCTTGTTATAAAAAAATAAATAATATATGTAAAAAAAGTTACTTGCCATATAAAATAATTTTTTTATCGTGTCATTGATTATATGATTATATCATAGTATAATAGTTCTTAGTATCTTTTTTATAACTTTGTAAATAAACATATTATATTATTATATGGCTCTATGATATAGTATATGACTTGTTTCCTTCGTCTTGTTTTCCTGATTCATATAACTTGCAATCTTTTAAGTTGTCAGTCAATCGTTATCTTCCACTATAAACTTCAATTTTTCTCTTCCAGTAACTTCCAACTCTAATAGTGGTTGCTTGGAGCAACCAACAATCTGATTTGGAAATCTTTGTATTAACAACCATGTCGAGAAAAAAAAAAGAAAATATAGTCATTTAACAATATAATGTTATACGTGTATTAACAAAGTTTTAAAAAAGATATCAAACGTTAGCCAGGGTGACTAAGAGTTTGATGTCATGTGATTGACCCCAAGAAGCATAACAATGAGTTCAAATGTATAAGTAAAATGTTAATTATTTCAAATAAATGTTGTTTATAAACTTGTATTAGCTTTCCATAATTACTATTTATTTACTATTCCAGTTAAGTCGGATTGTTAGCATCAAAAATTAACAACAAAATATTATTTTTAAGTTTTTCTGTAATAAGCTTCCACATTCGAAATTGGTAAAAAAAATTTTTAGTCTAAATGATAAAAACAATGGGAACTGAAGAAGTAAGAACAACATTATAATATTATATTTTTGTAAAAGTAAATTAGTAGGAATGAAAATTTTAAAGGATGAAATGTAAAACAGCGGCAATTTGATATAAATATGATAGCTACACCTTTTTAAGATGTAATTGAGAAAACAAAAATTGTAATTAAGAATCGTAAGATGTAATTGAGAAAACAAAAGTTGTAATTAAGAAACGTAAGATGTAATTGAGAAAACGTAAGTTGTAATTAAGAAACATAAGATGTAATTTAGAAAACGAAAATTGTAATTAAGAATCGTAACATGTAATTGAGAAAATGTAAGTTGTAATTAAGAAATAGAAAGATGTAATTGAGAACACAAAAATTTTAATTTAGATATTGCTTTAAAGGAGTAAGTGTAAAATGGCGCTTAAAAAAAATGGCGCGTAAAAAAATGGAGCGTATAAAATGACGCACTTAAAAATGACGCAAGATTTGTAGCGTAAATTTAATTTTTTAGGGAAAAATTTAGGAAAAAATTTATAATTTTTGGGAAAATGAATTTAACATAATAAACACTAAAAACATTTTAGGGAAAAATTTATAATTCAATTAAAAATTATAATTAAAAATTATATAATTAAAAATCACTTCATTGATCATTTAAGCACCAACTTGTACGTCTTCCATATTTAAAATAGTTGCATAGTGCGTGGTTGTGTGTTGTACCGCACGTGCACAATCTCCTCCCATTATAGTATTTTTCGCCTCAATTACAATTTGTTCTAAGTACTGCATGCGCTGTTCCGCAATCCCGTCACCTAATACAGGTGGAATGCGAATTGGATTTTTAACGTTACTTTTAATTTTGGACCAGATCGTTTCCACCGGGTTCAACATTGGACTGTAAGGTCCCAAACGTAACAACTGAGCTGGTGAATTATCAAACACCCTTTGCAAACGAGCGTGACAAGGAGCATTATCTGTTACGACGACCAAATCCTCCAAACGATTCCCGGATGTAACCCACTGGTGAAACATAGCCAACATCCACTCGTTACAGGAATCTGCTTTAAATGATCCCCTGCGATTTTCTATCATGACGACATTTGTAGTTGAAATAGCTGCGATCAAGTGTATGTTTAAACCTTTTGAAGCAGGTACTTTCACAATTGCTCTTTTTCCTTGTCTCGCGCGTCCTTGCGTTTTTCTACAAAAAAGGTTAAAATTTGTTTCATCCAACCAAACTATCTGACGACCATTTGTGATATGTTCGTTGATGTTTCTAACATATTCAGCGCTTTTTTGTTTGTTTTCATAACTGTTCATTGTAGAAGGCTCCTTGTGTACTTTTTTTAATGAGAACAATCTGCCTTCGAGGTAATTTGCTATTGTTGTTGTGCTAACGTTTATGTTAAATTGTCTTAATATCTTTGTTTTGATGGCCACCAATGTTAATTGACAATCATTTTCAATCCATGTTAATGTTTCTTCGATTTGATCTTCGGTCAACTTTTTCGGTTTAAAACCTCCTTTTCCGATGAAATTTGAATTTCCTCTGCGAACCCAATTGTATGCTGTCTTATATTTGATACCTAGCGTTTCCGCGAGATTCACCCAATCTTCAAATCGCTCCGCACATTCAACAACTCTTCTCCTGTCATTTGGAGAAGATAAAACGTAACGTTTCCTTTCAACTTGTTCAGTTGTGTGTATTTCATGCCGACAAATCGGACAACTTGAATCTAGTTGTTCCAGAACTGGACGTAAACAAATTTGGTGACATAAATGTTGACACGGATTTAGCTTAATCACAGACTTTCGGGTCATAGTGTATTGGCATATAACACAACGATCTTTCAATTCCATTATTATTACTTGTGCATACAAAAGCAAAATTTAAGATTATAACTTAAATTCATGTCCAAAAAGACCTTTTGTAACAACCTACAAACTTAGACTGTGAATTTGCTATTTTAATTTATGTGTTCTCAATTACAAGTTACGATTTCTCAATTACATATTATGATTTCTCAATTATATCTTTTTCTCAATTACATGTTGTGTTTCTTAATTACATGTTACGACTTCTTATTTACATGTTGTGTTTCTCAATTACATATAACGTTTTCTCAATTACATGTTGTGTTTCTTAATTACATATTACGACTTCTTAATTACAACTTTCATGTTCTCATTTACATCTTGAAAAGGTGTAGATTCATTTTATAAAATTAGAAACAAATTTGTATTAAATGTGTAGATAAAAATAAAATAGTAGGAATGAAAATTTTAAAGGAAAATTTTAAATGTAAGACTGAGACAGGTTGAAATGTAAGACTGAGACAGGTGAAAATGTAAGACTGAGACAGATTGATATAAATAGGATAGCCATATTAGTTTTAAAAAACTGAAAACAAATTTGTATTGTATAAGAGGTTACTATAAAAGGGAATGAATATGAAAAACATGGAAACAGTAATACTCATTGCACAAAAACTTTACTCTACTGAGTTTAAAATTTAAAATATTTAAAAATATATTAAATATTGTAAAATAAATATAACAAATTTGTAAATAAAGATGCTTATTTTATTTGACAATGTTATTTATCTTCTGAACTAAAAAATGCCTCTTTATTTATTGGCATTGGAAAACTTAATGTAGACATCACTTTTTTCTTGGCTTGTTTGTTTTTTTGGTCTTGTCTAACTTTTTGTCCGCCATTGCGGTCTGATGCACCACGCAAAAAACGCACAACCTCATAATGAAAATCTGATTCAGTTGCTGAAGTTGTTGCAGGATTTCTTTTTACAGCTCCTAAAAACTAATTTAAGACTTTTATCTAGCTATCTAGCAGCTTTTATCTAACTATCTAGCAGGAAAACAAAAAATATAATTTTTCAAAGCTATTTATTAACAAATTTTATTTATCTATTTATTAACTTTTTATTTATATATAGTTAATAAATAAATTTTATTTTTTTATCAACTATTTATTAACAAATAGATTAGTAATTACTAAATTAGACACAAGTAATTATTAAATTAGAGTAACAAGCCCCTCCAAAAAAAATTACTTTCAAGCAAGTGTAATTCTTTGTTTTACAAAGTTACTTTCATTGTCATTTCTGGAAATACCAGACCAGTTAAGTTTACAGCAGAGGTGATTAGTGAATAACGCAAAGGACATTCCCGGATAGCCTCCTTTAAAGTCTGGCCTTTTTTACTCGCCACAGCTATTATCTACAAAAAACATCAGTAATATATATACTAAAGAATATTTTTTAAAAAATTAAAAAAAAAAATAGATATCAAATTATTGCCATTAAATATTGCATAACATTTATAAATAGGCTTTGTGTCCTTTATTTCCGTTTATAAATGATCTAGCTGGTGTACCAAAAAAGCTGATATAGCAAATTTATATACTTTACCATTAATACTAACACCAGAATCAAATAAAGCAATACTTTCATTAACAAACATTTTTAGAAATTCATTACGGTCTTTTGGTTTAGACCTACTATAAAAAAGATCGATTATAAATGGGGTTTTATTGTGTTAAATATTGTTTATCTACATTTTTTATTAAACCTAATATTGGCCAAAATTGTCTAAATGTCTAATTACTTCATTTGATTCTTTTCTATATTTAAATCTCAGAGGTCTGCAGTAATTAGTTGACGATGGTTTTGGATTTCTCCAAACAACCTGTTTTTTGTCATCTTTGAAACAATATAGTTCTAGAGGAACCAAGCAAGTTATGAAAAGTGATTCATCTGTATAAAGTTCACTAGAAACATCTGACAGTTGTTTATAAACAGATTGTCCTGTTGCACCATCAAAACCAGCTTTGTATATTATAAATAGTTTAGTACAATCTTTAAGCACAAATGAATTTAACACAACACTATAAGCTGAACATATTCTTGATGCAGTATAAAAAGAAGAGCTTGTAATGGAACCTCTGCAGAGTAGTCACTGACCTGAATGTTTTCAGGGTAGCACATATTTTTAGCCTCTTTTACAATATGATAGGATGGGTATAGAGAGCTGAATGGAAGAGCATTGTTTCCTAAATGCTGATAAGTTTCATTAGATAAATTAGCATCTAAGACTAGCGCTAATGATTGACTGAAGTAAGTGATTCTTTGTTGTATATTTTTTTAACCACTTTTGCTTCTAAAAACCTTTTATCCCTTTTCAAACTTTTACTTGCTGCATATAAAAGTTCGTTTAAATTATATTTACTCAAAAGCTCTTTAATTATGCGATCTTTAGTTCTCACAGACGCATCTTCAAACAAAATCGAAGGGCGTCCACCTTAAAGTATAATATTATTTTATCAATTATTAAATCGTCGTAATAATAATACAAATAAATTATACACATTATAATAAATTTACACATAGTTAAAGTAAACATACCACAGGTTTTTGTTTCAATTTTTTTTTTTTTTTATAGTCAAATATAGTTTGGTTTAAGCAAACTTTATATCTATTTTCAAATACTGCACTTGTTCTATTCAATTTTTTCCACTTGTTTTTAGCTTGGTAAATGAATTTTGAAATAATTGACAAGTTATCATTAGATTCTTCAAAATTGCTTTGGGAAACAAAACTCAAAATTTTTGCATGTAAATCATCATTTTGCAGTAAATTATTTTCCATTATATAATTCATAAGACATCTCCTGTCCATTTTTAAGAGATTGTCTGTTCAATAAAATACTTTTAATTTGAAAGAAAGTAATTTAAAATGTTTTTAATAAAGTAATTTTTTTACGAGCAGTAACTATGAAACTCAGTTCCTTTCCTTTATTTCTCATTGGTTGTTATCGTGTTTTTTATCGATTACATATAATTTTATTGTTTTCGGAAATTATAAAACAAATAATAAATATTATGTCCCAAACTTGTACTACGTAGAAGTATATAATTCATATTTTATCACAGTCTCTGAGTTTTTATTACTTTAAAACGGTAGCATAAAAAATTAGGAATAATGGTTTCAATGCGATCTAAATGTTCATTGAGCAAATACGAGGAAGTTACTGGAAAGCAATTAAAAAATACAAAAATATTCAATTTTAAAATTATGTCTTTAATAAAAATTATTATAAAGTCAAACTGCAGTTTTTAAATTTTAAACATCCTTAAATTTTTTGTTATCGATCAAAAACGCATTAACAAGAAACGTGGACGTAGTTAATTGAATTTAAAAGTGTATTTGTTTAGGCAGCTATAGGCAGCCAATTTTTATACCACAAGATCAATGTCATATTGGTATTCAATTATATATCATTTTAGGCGGTTAATACAGGTTGATCCGATGGTTTTAAATGATATTTTTGAAGAAAATAAAAACTTATAACTCAAAATTATTGATGTTTGCATTGTTGAAAATATTTATATAAAATGCAAAAAATATTTTTTTTTTATGTGATTTAAATATTAACATAATACTGTATAAGTCATTTATAAGTTAAAAAATAAACTTAAACTTCTTTAAAATAAGAAATCAAAGTTTTCAAAAGATGTAAAAAAATAAAATTTTCACACTTTTTTGTTGTTATTGATAAGAAGTATTTAAGGAAATATTTAAACAACAAATATGGCGTTTTATTGAAAAATTATTTTTTAATAAAATATAATTTCTGGCTTAATAATATATTGAGCAAAATTTGCCTTTTTCAAAATTTCAAAATTTAAAAACTTTTTTGTATGGTTTTGCCGGCTTCTGACCCACTGTGCCATGCAACATTAGCATAATTTAAATAACTATGAATTAATGAGCAATAAAGTTGAGTTAAACATTTTTTACATAAATATGTTCTGGTTTTACATAAAATTCCAATGTTTTTAGAAATTTTTGTACCAATATAGTCGATATGCGTTTTCCATATGATGTTTTCATCAAAAAAAACATCTAAGAACTTTGTTGCATTATGTCTTTTTGTTTCAACATCAAAGCATAAGTAGCGATGACGTTTGACTGACGGGATATACTAGTTATAAATGCTGATCCTCATCGAAACGCCAATAATAATAGACGCAACTCTGAGGAGATGTTTATTATTATAAATAATTCTCTTTTATTCTAATGTACTTCATTTCTTCCCTCAGGCGTTCACTGCTCGTGTGTGACCATTCGGCGAATTTTATATGCCAAAGTTTTTAAATAAAAAAAAACACCTAAGAACTTTGTTACATTATGTCTTTTTGTTTCAACATCATCAGTAAAAGATCACAATTTGTAAGATTATTTTACATTTATTTAATCAGTTGTAACATTAGTAAGTTTACTGATAGTATGCTTAATGATAATAGTGAAATTAAAGTGGATAATAGGCTTAAAGAAGTTATTAATGTTATTATCAGTTTTAAATTTAAATGATTTTAAAATTTTTTATAATTTCAAACATAATTATGTTCTTTTTTTTTTAGTTGAATTGTCATCACTTGATTAGTTTACTTACTGTTGAAACCTGGTTTTAATTTTGTAAATTTAATATGATGTAAAATTTACTCTATTAATCATTAGTCAACAGTTAGAAAGAATCTGAAGTTTAATTAAAAAATGCTGGAAATTAAATTTTAATCAAAGTGAAAATAACTTTGTTTATTGATAACATAATAAAACCAGATATTACTATTTATTGCTTTTTTTTTTTTACTTTTTTTAACATGCTGCTTTGGAAACACTTTCTTTCTCTCCCTCTCTCTCTTAGACGAGATGGAGAATTAATAAAACTTATATAATTACTGAGCTCTTTGGTATTTCTTAATGATCATTTATAGAAATATTTAACAGGTTGCTTGCTATTTTATGATATATTTGTTCATATTGTTTAATTATAATTGTTCAAATATTGTAATAAATTTTTTTACTACAAGTATTTTAGTTGATAAAATATCTTATAAAGTTGTGGTGTTATTTACCAGTGTTACTTCATTGTGTTGTCTTTTTAAAATCTTTTCTTTTTTCATTACTCTTGAGACACAGTAATGTGTGCTTACAAATATTTTATGCTATGTGCTATTGTTATTGTTTATTGTAATTGTATATTTTTTAGTTACTCTTAAATGCACAATAGGTTGGCTTTTTGTTGCATGGAAAGAATACCACCACCATTTAGAGATTTGTAAAATTCATGGCATATTAGGGACATACAGAAAAATTCATGCTTGAAAAATTTTTTTAAAAAAAATATTGTGTGAATTAAGAAAAAAAAATTTAATTCACACGAGATTGTTATTAAAGATTGCAGGGGGCAGTCATACGACAATGCTAGAAACAGCGTAGAATTTGCTAGAGCTTAACTGCTCTCTAATAACTCTTAGCTGTAGCTAAGAGTTATAGAAAGAAGTTAGTTTTTTAAACTTTTATTAAAGATCTGTGTTTACTTTACCAGTTCTGTATACCGCTAAAAGATGTTGTGTAAGACATGTGTACTTAAAAAATCAGTTCAACATAATGATTTTGCAGAGCAGATGCCACTAAGACTATTGCAAATAACTATTCAGAGATTAGAAATATGCTCTACAAGTTTGTTAACGACATAGACAATCTAAAGTACGCTGCAAAGGGCTTTATGTGTACATGTTGCATCTAGAAAAACGCTCCGGGGTTTTTTGTGTACATGTTGCATGTAGAAAACTAGAGTAGATGCAACATGTACACATAAAGCATCTATATTCTGGATTGACATTTTAAAAAAGCATGTAACACTAAAAAGGTACTTTAAAAACCAAAAATTCACTTAAATAACATAAGCTTGATATTTGGTAAAACATTTTTTTGCTGTGTGCTGTCAACCTGCTCTAAGGTTAATCAAACAACGCACTGCCACTAAAGTCACTAGCCTGGCTTGTAAGTTATTTTTAAGAAATGTAAGTTATGTAAAAGTATATTACATCAAAAATTAATTTACTTTTACAAACCTGGCTTTTTTTACTTACATGAGTAAGTAAATTTGTATAAAGAAATAACTTACATAAATAATTTTCCCTTGCTCAGTGCTGAGATTGAACCCAAAATTCATTGTGTTAATTTTAATTACTTTGAAGCTACTTTATTCAAGAACTTCAAAATGTGACGTAATATATAAGAGTAAAATGTGACGT